TAAAACAAACGCTGGCCCTGCCCTGATGTGGAGTCGGGGCCCCACAGGCTCCTGGCCAGCCGGTCTGGCCGCAGCACCGGGGCGGGGGGGCAGTGGCAGTGCCACAGAATCCCAGGAACCCCCATCTCTGTAGCCTGCCAGCTGCTGGAGCATTTGTTTCCTCCCCAGGGGTGATGTGGGAAATGGTGTTCCAATAAAAACTCCCAGAGGAAGAAGCGGGCCGATTAAATGGTATGCTATCTTTCCTCTCTGGGACTTTGGGGAAGTGACTGAGGAAGTTTCTGGAATTTGGGGTCCCTAAAAGGAAGTACCCAGGCAGTTGGGAGTCCTATTATCTGGTGCTGGGCTGCCAGATTGTTTCCAGACCACCGGGGCCCTGGAAGTGCCACCATCTCAAAAATGTGGCCCCCTGCTGGGTCCTGGGTGCTGACCTGTCCATTCCTCCCAGGCTGTTCCCTACTTCTGAGAAGTAAACAGGTCGGGGGGTGTCTTAAAGGAAACCAAGCTTTTCCTCAGGAGAAAATTAACTGTGCCTGACTTCACTCTGAAACCCAGCCTCCTCCCTCAGGCTGAAGTGATGGATGCCTTTCTCTGTGGCACTCCCAGACACGCCTTCATTCACTCTCTCAACAGTTACATACTGTCCACTAACTGTGTGCCAGCATCCCTAGGTGCCTAGGATCCTATGAGGAATAACAGTCTTTTGTGTGTGTGGAACTTACATTCTCACAGGGGAGACAGACAATAAACAAATAAATGAGTTAATAGATAACATGGTTGTGAACAGTTAGGGCCTTGAAAAAAATCAAGTAGGATGCAGGGCCAGAGAAGGGAGAGGTCATGGTAGCCACAGTGATCAGGAAGGATGGGCCTGCAGAGAAGGGGACATTTGAGCAGAAGCTTGAATTGAGGGAGAGAAGAGACCACAAAGATGTGAGGGGAAGAGTGTGGCCGGCAGGAGGAACAGTGAGCACGGTGGCCCTGGGGTAGGAGCATGGAATCGAGAGGGGAGGAACAGAAGACAGGCTAGAGCTGGCAGCCAGTAGGTGGCAGGACCCAAATCATCCAGGACAGTGTCTCTCAACCTTTTTTAATGACTGCTTCCTTCCTAAAATTTTAATAACCACGGATATACTGTATGCTTGTTTCTGTACTGTATGTATGCATAAAAAGAATAAGATGTTTCTGGGGGACTTCCCTGGCGGTCCAGTGGTTAAGACCCCACACTTCCACTGCAGAGGGCATGGGTTCAATCCCTGGTTGGGGAACTAAGATCCTGCATGTGGTGCGGTGCGGCCAAAAAAAAAAAAAAAAAAAGAGTAAGATGTTTCTGCCATCCAAGAACTAATTCTCTCCCCGCCTTTAGAAGCAATATTGTCCCAGTTGAGAATGCATGCTATAGGGCCTTCTAGGAAATTTTAAGGAATGTGTATACTCCAGTGCCTATTTGAACTGAAAGTATTCAAGACAACAGCTCTATAAACTCCCCCCAGGGTTCCACTTGGATGTTTAATAGACATCTCAAACTTAAAACATCTAAAACCGAATTGCTTATTCCAGTCCCCGAGCCTACCCTCCATCCCCAGTTTCTGCATCTTAGCACCCCCTTGCTCAGGCCAAGGAAGCCTGGCAGCATCTTGACTCCTGTTTCTCTCGCGTTCCCCCTGCTTCTCGCCCCTTCTGTGCTGTCACCCTGGCCCAAGCCCCCACCATCACTCCATCGCTCACCTGGTCTGTTGCAGCGGCCTCTTACCTGGCCATCTCGCTTCAATTTCTGTCCCCCAAGGAGCCTGCCAGGTAGTAGGTGCCCTGTGAGTGAGGAGGAAGGAGAGGAGGTGGAGAATGTGCCATGGGTTGTCCTGATGGGCACAGGAGCCAGGGGGCGGCTGTGGGGCAGTGGAGGAGCTTTACCTGCTCCTGGGGCTCCTGCCCCAGCCAGCATCAGCGTGGGAAGCCGGGGTGAGGGAGGGGGAGGACACATGCTAACCCCTGGTGGGGCTCACACTCCTGTCCCTTCCTACCCCACCTGCCTCATTTCCTCCCCGTGCAAGCCTCCAGCGGTACCGGGCTCATCACCCTCTCATCCCCCAGATAGGGCATCCTTCCTCATCAGAAGCAGATCCTGAGCTCTGTTCTTTCGTCAAGCGTCGCTGAGGGCCACCGTGTGCCCGCCGGTGCTGGGGGAACAGGGGCGACTAGGATATAGACTAGTGGGCGAGGCAGCCCCAGCACAGCCCCCGCTGCCGCTCCACTTGCAACTCATCCTTCATCCCCAGGGCTCCGGCAGGGAGTTCCCAGGCCTCCCCCTGCCACCCTCTCCAGCCCCCCTGGACTTTCTCCTTATGGCAGTCGCCCCACGTATAATCACATGCCTTGCAATGCTCGCACTGCTGTCCGCCTGACCCACCAGGCTGGCCCCGTGCCTGTAGCCTTGTTGCCTGCTGCCTCCCCACACCCAGCCCGGCAGCCTCCAAACCTTCAGAACTTACTAAACATTTGTGGGAAAACAAGCGGAGGTAACAGCCAGGGTGTGGAGCTGAAAGGAAGGAAGTTTGACCTTGACAGTGAAGGAGAGAGGGAGGCGATGCATTCCCCCTCCTCTCAGCAATCATATGGGGCTTGTGTACAGGTGTCGGGGAACGGGGGTTCCGCCTGGAACTCGCTGTAATCAACACAGCCGGGCTGTTCCTTGGGAGGCTTTCTTTGGGCCTCTTATCTTGGTGGCCTTGGGGCCATGGAGAAGGGAGATGCCAGGCCCTTTCGTGGGCCAGAGCACACAGGACACGCCTCCCCCGACACTGGCCTGGCATTTCAGGGTCATGGCCAGAGCCAGATGCTGCTTCTGGAGTCTGGTGAGCAGTGATGATTCTTCAAAAGCCTAGGTGATAGAGCTGATTCACTTTGTTATACAGCAGAAACTAACACACCATCGTAAAGCGATTATACTCCAATAAAGATGTGGACAATAAATAAATAAATAAATAAAGCCTAGCTGCTGGGGGCGGGTGTTGTCACAGAAACGAGGCCCCTGGGAGGGGTTTTGCCTTCCCTCATGTTGTGCTCCGTGAGTCTGAGAAGCAGGGCGAAGTTCAGCTCTCCCCACGTCTGCGTTCCCCTTCCAGAAGGCTCTTCTCATGCTCCAGTAGGGCCTGGGGCACACTCGGGTGTTTCCGGGGCTCAGCAGTGGTTGCCTGTGGTCTCCAGGGCTGTGTGTGCCCTCCACAGACCCTCAGCACGCAGGCCCCTGGACCTCTGTCTCTGTATCTCCCTTCAGCTAGCCCCAGGCTTGTCCCATCCCCTGTTGAGGGCTGTCACTCTGACTGCAGCAAGATGGGGGCTGATGCTCTCTGACCATTGACACCCGTGACGCTGTTCATGGTAAGAACTGGGGGGCAGAGGAGCTCTCGGGAGAGGGGCTGGGAAAGCTAATTAGGCCAGTCAGGAAATGACTCCAACCCTTTTGAAACAGGCTACACCAAACATTTCTTCTCTCCCATGCCCTTTTATGCTTCCTTGCTTTTCCTCATACTGTCCACTCCCCCCAAACCCAGTACCCTTTCCCCTCATTTCTACCTGGTGGGTAACTTTTCATCTTTCAGAACCAGCTCAAATCGTAGAACATCCTCTGGAGAAACGGCACCCCCCCGCCCCTCCCCACTCCACCAAAGGGTGTGACTTTTCTCTGGGTTCCAGAGCCATTTGCGTTAGTCAAAGCACTATCTTGTCTTGGGGTCATGTCTTTGCATGTATGTGTCACCATTTGACCATGAGCTCCCTGGAGGCAGGAGCGGGTCTTACTTGTGTCCATAAAACCTAGTGGCCAGCCCAGTGCTTGGCACCCAGTAGGTGCTCAGTGTTGAGGCCCTTCGTGAATGAACCTCTCAGGAGAAGCTTCATAGGCAAGATGGCCTCTGAGAGGCCTTGAAGGCTGAGTGGGGTTTGACAGTGTCCTATGCAGAAGGCCAAGGGGAGCTCTTTCTTCATGTGTTACTTGTTTGTTACTTGTGTCCTCACACTGGAAAGGAAGCTCCATGGAGACAGGGACGTTGTCTTTTGTGTCCCCAAAGCTGGCACAGAGCCTAACACGGAGTGAGCGGCTAGTACCCACTTAGTGAATGAATGGATGAAGCTCTGCCGGAAAAGGAAAGCAAAGGAAGGGGTTTCGGGGTCCAGGAGGGATGAGAATGAAATGAGGAAGAGTGGCCAGAGCAGTGAGGAGTTCCCCAAGGCGGGGCGGGAGCGGAGGGAACCGGGGCCCCGGCGGGGTGGGGGTCTGGAGCAGGGCTCTGAGAGAAAGGCGGATCCTCTGTGCCCTGGCTGCAGATGGGACACTGCCCCCACTTGTGCCCGTGCAGGAGCGTGGCCTCAGCAGGTGGCATCCCAGCCAGGGCACCAAGGACAAGGAGAAGGGACAGAGGCTCCCGGGTGTCCCGGTGTCAGGAACTGAGTTGCTGCTTGTGGGGGATGGGAAGGGACATGGCAAAGGGCCTCTGAGTCAGCTCTCAGTCTGATGAACATGCCCGGCCCCTCTGAGGAAGAAGCGGAGAGTCAGTTTGTAATGAACGAGGCCTTAAAGCTTCCGTCCAAGCCCTGTCTTTACCACAAGAAAGGTTCTCTGGGATCTGAAAAAAAAAACAGACAGGTCTCTGTCCCACGCACCGGGCGGGGGTATCTGGGTCACACGCTAGCCGGCAGGGAAAGCAGACTGTCCTCCCGTTGGGTGGCCCATGCTGCCAGGCCAGGGACACGTCTGAGAACCCATCCAACAGAGGGGGAGAAGCACAGTCTCCTCTCCTTACCTGTGCTCAGCGAATGAGGAGCCCTCCAGTCTGCCCACGGCGGTCAGATGCCCACCGTGGCGGTTCCTCACCTGCACTGACAGGCCCAAGTCCCAGCTCTTGTCACAGCTAAGAACACCGAGACCCCAAGAGGGACTCGCCCAGGGCCACCCAGTGTGCAAATGGGGGTGTGCTGCAAACTGCTCTCCCTTGGCGTTCCAGAAAACTCCACGGCCAGTGTAAGTGAGGCAGAAAGGAAGGCCCAGGTATACTACCGTGCATGTATGAACGAAAGCAGGATTGAGGAGCTCAAGGCCAAACCCCTGATGGAGCTGATCGAGAAGGTGAGCCCCTACGCCCCATCTCCTCCTGCCCCTGCCCCCCATCTCCTACCCCTGCCTCCCATCTCCTCCTGGCCCCTGCCCCCTTCCCCCATCTCTTCCTGCCCCTGCCCCCGTCTCTTGCCCCTACGCCCCATCTCCTCCTGCCCCTGCCCCCTTCCCCCATCTCCTCCTGCCCCTGCCCCC